AGCTCCTCCAGCCCAACCATGACCCTCCCCCTGACCGTTCCCAACTCCCCCAGACCCCTCAGCGCTGGCTCAGCCCGACTCTTCAACCCCTGAGGGATCCCGGGGACTCCCCCCTGCCCTGGGCAGCCCATTCCAACGCCCAACAGCCCCTTCTGCACAGAAATCCTTCCTAAGGGCCAGTCTAAAAACTGGCTCTGCAAGGACAGACTCTCTTCTCTTCAGTGCTGAGGAATCTCTTGCCAATTACTCTGAATGTTTCTTTTTCCTCCTTCCAGTTGCTGTTTTTAACTGGTAAGATCTCCCGCCCGTCAGGGCTCTGCAGCAGGAGAGGCACAGAAAGCCGACGGTGGGTTTTTCTGTATCCTTTGTCCATCTGATTCTCCTTTCCCCAGGGAAGGAGGCTCCCGCTGTGCATCCCTTCCCCGACAGCCTGTGGCCCAGGCATCTCTCACTCCTTTTGATGGAGGAAAGAGATCTCAAGGGTATTTTTGTGCCTTCACCTGCCCAAGACAAAGCCAGGACTGTCCCACCGGGAGCTCAGCGACGTCCTGATGTTGGGAGAGCTCGATGGCCCCGGGTGTGCGGGCAGCTCTGCCTCTGCTGCTCCTCAAACCCTTCCAGCCAGCGCAACGGGGAAGAACCAAAAAATGTAGTTAAACACTTGACAAAAGAAAAAGCCCTTTGGTGGGTGAGCCGGCAGCCGAGCCCCGCAGGGCTCGTGACAGGACGAAGGCACTGGCAGCAGACCAGGGGCCCGAGGCACGGCTACCTGCCCGCTGGGGCCGGGGCAGGTTCTCAGGGCTCAGGTCTCAGCGTTTGGAAACGGGGAGACACGGGCAGGCTCATCCCTGCCGCAACGTCAGTGAAATCGAGACAAAACCCAGCATCGCCTGAACCGTTCCTCTGCGGTTCGGCTAAATGAAAGAGTATGCCTTTTTAATGCAACGTGTAATTAGAGAGTGTAAGTCACAGCCAAAAGATTTTATTGAGCCAGAGAATTAGACAGTTGCATGAGTAATGAGAGCGGCCGCCGCTGCACGAGCCGGTTGGGATTGTACGGCTGGGACAGAGCCCCCAGCCCCTCCGCCTCGGATCTGGTCGGCCAGAGAAGCGCTCCCACAGCCTCCCTTCGCTGCGGAATGAAAAGATCCTTTGCAGAGATTAAAATGAATTTATTATTTCACAGTCTGCTATTTACATCACATCTGGAGCAGGTATTATACGCCCCGTTACAAAAACATCTAAATAACGAGTCCTGCCAGCGGCAGCCGAGCACGGCTCCAGCCCCGGCCCCTCCTGAGCCGACACGTCCCCCTGGAGGGGGGCCGGGGTGCTCGGGGGGGGCCCTGGCCCCACGCCCTGCAGCTCTTGCTCCAGCCATGTGCCACCAGCCCCACCAGCACAGCTGCCCTGGGGACCCCGGCCCTGCCGATGTCGGGGCCACGGGGTTCCCATCCTCTCCCCCTCGACCTGCCACGCAGGGGGGTGGCGTGTCCTGGAGAAGGCCACGAGCTCGGGGCCAGGAGACGGTGCCTTGCTCTTTATTTTGAGCTAATGCAGCGAAGCCTGGCTGGGTCTGGGTCCCTGGTGGGCACCTGCACAGCGCCAGGCCCGCGGGCAGGAGAGGCTTCCCCCGCGTTCCTCTGACATTCCATTGCGAGCACAAGCGGGAACTCGGTGCCTGGGACTGGCGCAGTAGAGAACAGGTACTAATCTTGCAGCCTGATTAATGCAGTTACCGAGGAAGGAGAAACCAGCAGCATGCTCCACGAGACATTTCACCATCTCCGGGGGCTGATGGGGTGTCAGACACCCCCGGCCACGCCGCCGCATCCGCCCCATGTGGTCGCAGGAGCCGGGGCCCCTGGGTGACACGAGATCCGGCCGGGGCTTGGTGCTGGCTCCCGGGAACCCACCGGGCCAGGAGCCAGGACCCAAACGGCGGAGGACTTCACACAACCACTGGCTCCCCAATTCCTGACAGCGACCCCGATTCGGCATCTTGGGAGATGGGGAAAGGTGACTCACAGCAATGACTTCAGCTATTTCCGAATAAAGCCCGTTCTGGGGGGCTGCTGTGTGTCTGTCTCTGTACTGTCAACAGCTCTTACATGACTGGCGTATTTTATTTAACGGGATAGGAAAGCGAGCCCATTTCTTGGAGTGTGTCCACAGAGGCGGAGGGGACCGTGGAGTGAGGGGAGTCTTGCAGCTGCACTGGGCTCCCATAGCCGCAGCCTCCGGGGCAGCCGGGGCTCAGTGGGTGCTCGGATCAGAGCAGCCCCCGAGCATCCCGCACCCCGCCGGGCCACGTCCGGCTGCTGAGGGACCCGCGCTGAGGCTGGTCGGCCACCACCGAGCTGCACGGGGGCTACCGTGTGACCTGCGGGCAAGGAGACAGCGTGGCGGGGGGCTGCTCACAGAAACCCTCAACCTCTTTGCAGCGGGCGAGTTACCCAACACATCCAGCTGATTCGCCCCCGCTGCGAACAGCCTCGGGAGATGCAGACAGGATCTGCTCTCTGTGTCCATTTAACGGGGTGGCTGTTCCAAATTTCAGCTGCTGGGTCGTTGTGAACCCCAAGCTCTGGTTGTAGCTGCCCCCGGGGCTCTGTCGGCAGAGGGGACGGGGAGGGGAAATCCAGCCCCCTGGTCAGGGTCCTTTTGAAAACACAGGTCTGCATTTCCAAAACGCCACCTCCCCTGGGCGGGCAAGGGACCCAAAAGGGGTGTTGGAGGGTGGGCACGGAGGTTGGGGCTGCTGGACAAGGGAGGAGAGCCCTGGGGTCCTGCGGATGGGAACGGTCCCCAGCGAGAGCCCAGGACAGCACAGCCAGAGCAGAGGCTTGGGGCTGAGTTAGCAGCTGCGGGGAGAATGAACAACAAATACTGCGGGAAAAAGACAACGAGCTGAATGTAGAACTGCAGTTACGGGTCAGCGATGGATGCCCAGGGCCAGAGGAACCTTCTTGGACATCCAAAAAGGCACGTGAGCACGAAAAGTGCTTTCCGTGCACAAAAATATTATCGATAATGGAAAAAAAAAATCCCAACGTAACAATACGATAATTTTACGGCAGAGGAGGTGGGGTGAGAAACGCTAAAGCATAAGGAATAATTACACTCAACAGTATGAACAATGATTACAAAATTATGCAACTGATTAACCATGGCATATATGTAATTACTAATGAGTTTGATAAAATTTTAATTACACCTTGTTCTTTGGGGCATTCAGCAAGCCATGAAAATAATAATCATGTAGCGCTGTGTCACAGACGGCTGCCTCGGACGGGGGAGCGGTGACAGATTCAGGGCCGGGCCCAGCAACCTGCTGCCCTGACGCGGCAGCGATGCCGGGGGGCGGCCAGGACGGCCCCGCAGCCCCCCCGGGGCTGGTACGGAAACACCCCCAGCACGTCTGAGCCACGCAACGCCCTCCTCCCCGGGGAGCTGCCGCTCGTCAGCACAGCCCTGCGCCCCGCCGGGGTCTGCGCTACCCCTGCCCGCCCCGGCGGCCACAGCCCGGCCCTCCTGCTCGCCCCGGTGCACCCCCTTCCCTCGCGGGCTCCTTGGGGACGCTTCCCTGGGTTCTGGTTGCCCGGGGCAAGCGCGGCCGGGCTTTGCCAGGGGACATACCTTGGTCGTCTTCACTTTGTTGCCGCTACTGCAGCTCCAGCCTGAGAGGTCGGGCAGCACCTTGCACTCCTCCCCGTCGAGGCACGGCTCCATCTGGCACCACCACTTCTGCAGCACGATGGAGGCTGCGGGCGAGGAGGCCGTCAGCGGCCGGAGGGGCAGCCCCTCTCCCGGCACAGCCCGCGTCTGCAGCGACCCTGCCAGGAACCATTTGCCGCCCGCCTGGCCTCGTGTGACCCAACGGTTCCCCCGACCTCCCAAGCACTCTGTTTTCTCCCACTACCCCGGGGAAAAAGCCTAATGACAGCTCTGTGCTCCCAGCCGGAGCAGCACGGTCCAGTGGCCTCTCGGGGCTCCTCTCGCCGAGGCCGACGGACTCTGCTCTGCACGGCCCTTGTAATTTGTGTCTCCAATGCGGGTAACCAGAGCGTTTGGGAACGACGACACACACAAGCCCTTTGGGACAACAAAAGCCTTCCCTGACTCATCCTGGCATTTCTTGGTGTTGCACATGTATGTGCTCGCAGGAAGTGGTGAATCGATACCGCGTTGGCGGAGGCTGCCGCTGGCTCTGCCGCCTCCTCGGTGACGCCACGTGGTGCCATGTGATAAAACGCACATGGTGTGAGCTCTGCTGAGTGCTGCTCGCAGGTGACAGCGCTGCCCGGCTGCAGTCACGCCCCTGCCCCTGGCTGCAGGGCGCTGGGCAGCAGACGTGCAGGGATCGATGCTGCGGCGCCGGCCCCACCGCAGCGACGCGCCGGAGGAGCCCCAACGGCTGCAGCACCGTAACCCTCCCGCGGCACGCAGCACCCCGGGGCTGCTCAGCGTGGGGTAACACAGCCACACTGACAGGGAGTGTCCCCAAAACGCTCCCTCTGCCCCTCAGGTCCGCTGACCATCCCAGGGGCACGGAAGTCCCACAGCGACCGGGAGGAGGCAGCCGGGGCTGGAGGGGACCCGCCGGTGGCTGCGGGGTACCCGGTGTACCCGGTGGCCGCGGGGTACTCACCATCCACGCAGGACGGAGCCGCCCGCGTGGTCCCCGCCACCTGCCCCGGGAAGCAGGAGCATTTCACCGTCTGGGAGCGCTCCTCGATCTTGTTCTTATTGCAGCACCGGTGAGCTGCGATGACTTCGCACGTGCCCGGCTCTACGTGCACTGCGGGAGGAGAAACAGCTGCCGTCAGCGGGGCTGTGCCACGGGCCCCCCCGGGTCACCCCCTGCTCACCGTCCCGCTGCGTGACCGTGCCCGAGGCACCGGCAATCGCCCCAGAGCTGCCAGTGACGTACACGTGGCTCAGCCCAGCACCTCCCAGCCCACTGCTCCTGCTCCAGGCCTCCTGCCTCTGCGCTCCGAGTCCTACCCAGGCCACGCCAAGAGCTTATTGAAACGAGGGAGCACATCAGTTAATTGCAGCTGATAACGAGACACACACTTCGCTAACGCCTTTGGCCTCAGCGTGCCACCACCACCAGCCCCAGCCAAGCCAGCGCTCCCCTCTCGCCATCTCGCGCCGCGCTCTGGCTGCAGGAGGGAGCACCGGGGTGGCGTTTCCACCCCGCGGTGACACAGCAATGTCACGGAGCTCCTCAGGAATCCGGGCGGTTCTGCTGCTCCCCCTCCCAGCGCCATTAAAACATGAAGGAAGAAAGAAAACTAACGTGTGGGCTTATCACCTCTGGGATGCGGGTTTGGAAGCTTGTTAGCATCAGGAATCAGTGACTGCTGCTGGGTGATGGCGCACACAGGCACGATGCAAATTAGCCAGACAGGGCTGGACAGACTCACTGCCGTGATGGAGAGAGCAGGGGGCGTGCCCGGGGGTTTGCGCCCGTGTCCCCTGCCCCGCTCTGTGGGACGTGACACACGAAGTGGGCCGGGGGCTGACCTGTGCCCTGGTGAGCGCTCCCATGGCTCCCCGGGAACAGCAGCGCGTCCCCACGCTCACCAGCACATGCGTCCCCACGCTCACCAGCACACGCGTCCCCACGCTCACCAGCACACGCGTCCCCACGCTCACCAGCACACACGTCCCCACGCTCACCAGCACACGCCGCCCACCCTCCAGTGGCTGCGGGGAAGCCGCTGCTTGCCCTTCTCAAAGGCAGGCTCAGGGCAATGGGATCCCTCTCCCGGCGCCGGGGGAAGCCCTTGCAGCCAGGTCTCCACATCCCTGCAGGGGAACGCGGATCCAGCGCAGCCTCGCGGCATGTGCCAAAGCTGTCCTGGCCCCTCGCCTGCTCCCAGCGCCGGGACACGGGGGGCAGGATGCGAGGATGCCCCCGGGCAGACACTCGACGGCCGAGCGGGAACGTGGGCAGCGACAGCGGCGCTCGGCCCTCGCCGCCTGCCCCGTCCGGGAGCCACACAGCCCTGCCCCTGCCCCCCCGGCACACGGGCAGGATGGGCCACGCAATTACCACGGGTTTAATTTGCCTTTATTTATTGTTATTTCATGGTCATTTTCTTGTAATGAACCATCACTTTCATTTCTGCCTATAATAATTACACAATTACCTATCCTGGAAGTATTTCGTAGCAGCATCTCTGGCCATAAATTCTACCCTCCCTCTTAAATGCCATCATAATTCAGCTTTAATGATAATTTCCATTCTTTTTGTATGCAGAAATGGTCGACTTCCGTGAAAGTGAGAAGGAAAGCAACTCATTACAGAACGAACGTGACTGCTTAGCTCCACTTTTACGGTTAATGGGATTTTTCAAATAATCTGAGGAATAAGCAGAGGTTTTGGCTGACTATGAGCCCACATTCCCACCACGTGCTGGTCCAGGACCACAAGGAGCCACTCACACTTTCCTGCATCCCAACACAGCCCCCCCCACCCCAACAGGGAATTTTTTACCCTCCAACTTCAGCGCTCACACCTAGTTGTGGTTTTGACTCATTTTTATAAAAACTTCCCTGCAAAGCTTCATTAGCAGAGCTCTTCCCAGGAGGAAGGGCCAGACGACCCCTCTGCTCCCTCTCACTTCTGCTCTCTGGCTTCTCATTTTCAGCTAATTTGAAAAGGTTCAGCAGAGGAGAGCCAGGCAGAAGTGAGAAATTGCTCATTACAGCCATGCAGTAAGAGTTTGCCAACGTGCCAAAGCCCTTTGAATTTGCTCAGAAAGGTGCAGCACCGAGATAAAGAAAATTTTGCCTCTCCTCCAGAGCCAGACATTTTTCTTTCCCTCAAGTACACACGCGTCTTGGCAGCTGCCAGTACCAGGGGGGACGGAGGAGTTTAAGCAGAGCTCGCCAGCCTCCAGCCCCGCGATCGCTTGAACCAACAGGGGTCAGGTCTGGGGGTTTCCCAAGGTGCAGTTTACTCACGGTTAAGCTTCTGCCACCCCGGCTGAGCGGATGCAGGGATCTGCTCCCGGGGACACAGCTCGGGTGCCCTTTGCCACCACACAGGCTGCAGCAGGCACAGCAGCACCGGTGCCCCCGTGCACCCCCAGGCCGCTCACCCTCCCGCTGCACGTGCCCCTTGATGAGCCCTCGCTGCTGTTTCCCAGGTGCAGTTGGGGATCACCCATTTCTGGCATCTCCCTGGTTAAACTTCCTTGGCCAGAATCCACTTGGGTATAGACTAGTCCCAAAAGCCTTGAGAGCAGAAACCTCAGCAGGGAACAACACCAAGAAATTACACGGCCAGAGCCCTGGGAGCAGGGGGAGAGGTGGGAGGCCCTACCTCCACTGCCCAGGACACAGCAGCAGGGCACAGCAGAGACGCCCCAACAGCCCAGTACAAACCAGAACTGGGAAAAGAGAGACGCAGAAGGTCGCTAAGAAAGCACACAGCCAGAGCATCCTCTCAGAGACACATTGCTCACCGAGAGCAGAAGAACCAGCAAGAAAAGTTAAGAGCAGTACCTCCTCCTGAAGCAACACCATCACCCCTCCCGCAGCAAGACATACTGCTGATTGCCCCCAGCTGCCCCCACTCTGCACCCTCCTGCCCCCCCAGCTCCCAGGACACAGCCCCTCTGGCCCTGGTCACACCGGGGAAGCGGCAGCTCCTGCTGACAGCCCCGTGCCGGGCTCCAGCAGAGCCGAGCCGAGGGGCGCGCTGGTTTGTGCAGCCCAGGCTCTCTCCCCAGCTGAGGGTAAATCATTCGTGCTGTGAGCTGCGCTCGACAAAGGAGCTCAGTGGGGTGTTTGCTCCAGCCTGGCAGCCCTGGCCCTCACCCCGCGCCCTGGCCTGGAGCGGAGCATGAG